ATTCATTTTCTTATCCTTTTTGATTGCTTAGACTGAAAACGAAGAACACCCTTTGATATTACTATTTAAAACTTACGCTTATCAAACGATTCACAGAGAAATGGATTGGAAGAGTTGCTACTACGCTTTCAAAATACAGGAATCCAACATTAGTGCATTGACTACCTCAAGACATCAGCAACATAGAGGACGCCAGTAGGTGGATGAGAACTTATAATTAAGTTGTCATATGAGAACAATCATTCCTTTTTCGACGGCAGGGATTGCACATGGAGCTGGATTTGATAAATGGCATTGACCCCATTCCATAAATACAGAACCATCATTATTCATCGTGGAAAAGGGTATCGGCCAATGCCGCTCCAGAGTGGACTATTACCATGAACGTCTCATGAATCCATTGCATCTTTATCAATCTGTGCTCTAACAGTTTGCAATGCATTCACTGTCGAAGCATATTGTTTTTCTAGACGTAAGAAGATGCAATATAAGGTAGTTGAAACTGAATGAGTTTGGTGCCAAATGGTGATGTTGTACGGTGATTACAAATAACATTACACTGTACTTCACAAATCTCATTGAAAAGATCGCTTCCAACAATCATATAACAGGCCCATTTGAAGTCAACGATGTTGTATGTTTACTTTTTTTAAAAGTGCACTGCTTTTTGTTGACACGCAACATGACACAAACTTTAAGACATGTTTTTCATGAAAACCGTCTCAAGGGCAACTTTTATTTGTTGCAATCGTTTTGAAGACAACTGCTTTCAAATGAGTTCATGAAAGTAAAAAAATAATAGTCTATGCAAGTGGTTTTCGGGGACGACAAATTTTGCGTTTTAAGGATATTATATCGGATTAATTCCAAAATGATATCAATATTTTGGCAACCGATCTATGGTATACAATATCCGTTGAATCCGTTGAACGGTATTTGCTCACAAATAAAGTCCAGTGTTGTTTTCTCCTGAAAGCAAAATGTTGCTCTGAAGAATATTTCACTTTGTCCTCTGAGTGAAACATTTATTTAAATATCTGCCTATCATGGCTTGTAACATTCATTTTTGCAAAAGCTGAATTCTGTTTGACCTTAGTCTGCGCAATAATTTTTCATCCCACTGGGATGATACCAATCAACCGAATTTCCACCGTATTCAATCCAATAACACTCACCTTCCATTTGAGGTTATTCGTTGATTGAGACCATTCATCGGGGAGATGAGCTGATTTCGAGCACTGATGGACGCCAATGCGGCAGCCATTGAAATGTTGGGTGAATTATCTGTGTCGGAGTACTTCGAGATTAACTTTAATCCAGCTGCAGCCGCGGGTGACGATGTCAAACTTTGTACGGATCCCAACTGAGATGATGACTCCAAGGGATTGTAATGAACGGGGACAGCGCAACCATCTAGCGGGTTAAACCTGAAAACGTATAGGGAATAGAAAGATTGGTTTTAACAAATGAATCAGCGTCCTCTTGAAAATACAGATTTTTCGAGCTTTTTCACCTTCCTCTAGTATATCAAGTGTCATATATGAGGTAAAAAAGATACAAATATCGCTTCGGTGACGGAGTTCACAATAATTCAGAAAAAAAACTAACCGAAATTATACGTTTGTTTCACTTAAACCCTTTTTTATTGGTATGAATGAATGATTCATTCAGCTAAATGAATAATAAAATATCTTCTTATAGTCTATAAATATACGATTTGTGCAAAATACCAAGCGTGAAAGGACATAGTTGTCATTGGTATCAAAATCTATGTAAATAATGATGAACAATATTAGGCGTTGAATCACCAATTTGTGGTGGATATAAAACATTTCAATGTTTTTACTCATTCACCACAGCGCACATTGACCGGTGTCGCGCAAACCTTTAAGAGGCCACCTAACTGGAGGTACTGTAAAAACACTGTGGAAGATAGTGCCTTCAACATCATTGCCCCAAGGGAACATACGTCTTAAAATACAACCCGAATCGTATATCTAAATATATATGGCACATAATCCAGCACAATTACTATGAAACCACAGTCCAACTAGCACTACTCGATACAGATCCCTTTTACTTTCTTCGAACTTCATTTCATGACGACCTTTGTCCACAAAACTGTTTTACTTATAAACAGAATTGGTGTATAACCCGATAAACCATTATACTGCCAAATATTAATCTCTGACGTGTTTCCGTTTGTCTATTACATTTTCTTACCCCTCATCCCACTTTGAAAACCCCGATCCTGCTCCAGACAAAGATCGGTCCAAATGCTGGGAACACCAGTTAGCCTAGCTATTTGGGTGCTGTTCCCCAATGTTTGATGTTCCTTCAATTCCTTAATGTTCCGTCTGCTTAACGAAGAAATAAGTTTGTTCGCGTGAAGGGAGGGATACAGGAAGACTCGTTCATGCACGTGAAGTTTTCGTGTGAATATCGACCGCTACATGCGGGCAAATAATAAATTTCAGGAGAATACATGTTTCATCTACTTGTTTGACTGTTTACCAGACCGCCGGATTCAAACGATAGGATTGATGCACTAGCGAGCTACAGGTCTGTAGGATTTGGCCAGTATATGCAAATAAACAGACAGACAATTCGCGGTCCATGACATTTGTCTGTAAATGCAACGTTATACTGAACTGTGACAATAGCTGTACTAGCTACAGAATAAAGCTAATGATAAACATCTAGATAACATGGTCTCTGCGTGTGGGTAGTTGGAAAAAAGAGCTGTCTGGGATAAGCCAGGTCACATTTGGTCACTTTTTGGTCGATTGCAAAGTGTGCTATTTAGATCGTTATTCACCTCACTTATCCCTTTTCCCAAACTCCAACACACCACTTACCGCAGTCGATGTGTTGCTGATGCATGCACGGGACCACCGGTTTTCCTCAGCGACTTAACGGAACTTGGTGCCAGCGAGGCTAAGTTTCTCGCTTGTTGTACTGCAGTAACCATGGCCAAAAGGTCCACGTTGTTTGATGCACAGGGGACAGAAGATAAATTGGAATGCACAGCACTTTGTTGAGGAATGCCTATGCGACCTAACTCGAGTAGATTTGGAAACAGTGGCAAAGAAGCTGATAGCGGATCAGTCAATAAATGGGCATGTAGTCCTGTGGTCAGCGCCGGGGCGCCCACATTAGTGGCAGAGGACAAAACGGAGCCGGTTGTAGTCGAATTCTTGACGGAAGTGGGCAAATTGGCAAATTTCACAATGAGTGGTGTGTCCGCGGAACCACGTATTCGGTAGCCGTTGAACTGTTGAATGGCCAATTCAGCTTCATGTCTCTGATCAAACCGAATAAAACCCACTCCTTTGGATTGATCTAGTCCGAAATGCAGACGAAAACAATATAACCTATGTAAGTCATACGGAGTTGGCTTTCCAGCGCATAGTACTGGAGCATAAAAACCGAAATGTTTTATCATGCAATATCAAATCGATGGTCTCATAAATCCTTGAAAGTCATATCAATTGTCTTCAAACAAAGGGATAACATCCACAATAACCTTACACTTCTTTTTCTTGGGGTTTGTATTTGAGTAGCTCTTCGAAACAAATGTAATGCATAAGAGTGAACGAAGATTCCAGAAACACGGAAGCACATTCTCCGTTAAGTATGGCACCTGTAGTCACGCGCGGTTTTCATATCAGCAAATCATCATGCAATAAAAGACTTTGTCGGTTGTCAGCCGTTTTAAAAAGTGCTCACAATGCTCGGAACAGTTGTGTTTATCAACCGGTTATCGCGTCGGATGGTACAGTGCAAAAATGAGCGGACCACTAAATGAAGAATATCCAGTGAAATGTCACCTAGACTGATCGGTGAATAGACACAATATGACTCATTTAAAATTCCAATTGCGCACAATGACTCTTTCGATCACATGTTAAGCTCAATTAGTCAAGAAATATCTGGATATAAATAAATCTAACAATATCCTCCGAATGAACAGAAGAAACAAATTTTTGAATCCCATCGGTCATTCAGTCACTTGCTTACTTGTAGTGCTATCGCACAGAATCCTTGATGTGATTATTTTACCGCATTGTTCGAAAAGCTTTTCCAATTCATTTTCTGTCATTGTCTTTGGCAGACCGCATATGTACAAATTGGCTCCCTTGATTGATTCACAGCTCGGTCGGGCCAAAGACACCTTGAATAGTGTATGGTAGGGAAATAAGAGAACAGAGAATAAACGAGAAAGTGTACAGGCCCACGTTTGGCACTCTCAAATGGAAATTACTATGTGAAACCGGTTCCGGTATGACCAACAAAACACTCGCTCGAAATGATCACATGTCAAAGCGTCGAATGAAAAACACTAGGATGAATGAGTGCACGGATTCGGAATGTGAACTGACTGGTCGTTCGGGATTATGTCCGATTTTGGCAACTGGAATCGTGCAAACTGACACAACGAAAACCAAAAAGGTAANAAACTAAATAGAGATTCCACAGCCCTGTCACCGTGTGACAAGGGGACCAGAATGAACGCACGCGGAGTGGGTGCAGCGAGCGCACGTGTGTTCTATGTTGTATATGCGAAAGAACTCAATCATAATGTCAATTAGGACATCGACAGTGGTGGTTGTTGTTGTACACAGACTCGTTTTGATATGTATACAGTTTCCGGGAACGTCAATAGACCCGACACATTTTAAAACGATCAAAAAACAGGGGAAGCAACCAGATATCAAGATTACAAAATGTATGAACAAACTGATCCAATGCGCACGTGTTCGTTAGAAGGAATGACCACACCAGTTGTCTTCATACTCCTCAGTTTAACTCCAAAACTATTTATGAACCGTGAAATTGGAAATTTTATCATCAGCGTTGATACACAAATGTCTTCCTTTTTTCTTTTCTCGAATTTTTTTTAAAACAGCCAGTGTTAACCACCCTCAAATGCTATTGAAATAATGAGCGACGAAGCTGTTATGCATTGGAATATTCCAGCAAACGGTTTGATGGTTAAGTCATTTCTTTAATTAGAACAATATTACCGAATGTCAATTTGAAATTACTGAAATTCGGTTTCCGCCACTAGATCTAATTTTATCTCTGTCGATTTTCGACAAGAATGTTTTTAATTAAACAACGTTAACTTATTTCACTGTGACCCCATTTCCGATTAAAGTTTAATAGTAGTGGTAGTGCGCATAATTTTCAATGCAAATATATGACGCTCATCTTGCTATTTGTCATACAAATGAGGAGTGTAATCGAGACCAAAAGTTGCTCATAGAATTTAAAACCTTGAAGAATGTATTCATATTGGGAACAGTTAAAAACGTGACACTGTACTCCTGAGAAATTTTCTTAGTATTTTATTTCCCACTAATTTGTGTACGCCGGTTTTCAATTATGCAGGAAAAACAACCCGATTATTACCGGAGACGCTTTAATTTTCAAAATTTTAGACGTAATGAGTGCGCAGGGAAGAACCAGAATATTGGTGGTCTTGCATTTGAGCTTTCGAGGAATATACAGACAATCAAACTCACTAAGTACAACATCCTCTTATTCACGAATGGACATTTAGTTTCTGACTCAATAGAACGTTGGCACCAGACTGATGTGATGCGTTGTCCGTAAACAGTGTTTTTGCAGTATGACCGGTATCCAGCGTAAGGAAACATTCCTGATTCTTCGTTACATTGCGGTTATCTGTGGACTTATATACCCCCTTAGAAACTTTATGGTTCTCAAAGATTGGAGCATGTATAGGTCCGAAATGACGTATATGAACTAAAGGTCTTGTTATATTGAATGCATTCGGCTGTTTCGGGCTTTCAGTTACTGAAGGATGTTTGTGGACTAGTGCTAATAACCCACGGCTGTATTCAGTGTGTATCATCCATCGGTCAAGTTTATTGTATGTGACGAAATGAAAAGAAACGTACAATGCCGGCACAAATTCTGGAATCTATGGTGTTGAGTAGTAAACGAACAACAAAAAGACTGAAAATCATCATTTGGTATGAAGGCTGATGGTGCAAAGCGACACTAGCTACATTGGTGCGTATGATTGGATTGACACAGTTTTCTCAGGCTCAAAATAAACTGATGATCGGTCGGTCTGTGGTCAATCCATGCTAACCTCACTCAGTGGAGGTGCTGAATAGTATCATGGATAAACTAGGGACACCGACCAACCAACAAGTATTTATATAAAGCAAACTTCAAACAATCTGCTGAAAATATAAGCTGCTATCTGGAAAGAGTGCCCAATGACTGCAAATGTATGTATGTGTCAAACGTAATGGAATTTCTGGAAGCAGGAGTGACCTGAATGGGGTGGGGGAGAAGGGGTAGTCAAGTGGGTTTCACTGAGGGTCGATCGGGTGTCTAGGTACTATAAGCGATTCCCGGAGTGCAGTGGAAATCAGTTGGTGTGGACTGGCAGTAACGGGAATACAGGTTTCACTGTTTCGATTGAAAACTAACTCCCAAGTAACGGGATCATGGGTCAGAGCGAAGCGGTAAGGTCGGGAGCAATGAATCGGATACGGTAGGTAGATAAAGAGCCCAGAGAATAGGTGATTTCAAAGTATCGGAACCCAAATGAATCACGTGGGAAGGGCAGTGACAAAAATTGAAGGTTTCCCGAAAATCGGCGACAAACAAATTAACGGCGACAAAAACGCACAAATAAACGGGAGAAATCAAGCAACAGACAGTCAGGCCCATGCACATTTCAACGGGAGGGTGGCAGATATACTGAAGATAAACTCAAGACGAACAATAATAATAGTAAATTCCAAACAAAGTAAAAACAATAATGTTTAAGATAAAAAGGAAAAAAATGAGATAAATGTTCATGCAGCGGACATAAAACTGAGTAGAACAATAAATAGACGGTAGTACTGAAATATTACCATGTAGTAATAATCACTAAAATGAAAAAGAAGAAAAATTTAAACCTTTTGGAATCAAATGGCGACGATTTTGGCTGGTTTGGTATCACAAACATATATAGTTTGCAAAAATTAAAGGTGAAAAATGAATGACGACTTGACTCGATAGAACCTCATTCAGCTATGGCTGAGTTTGTCAATTGGGTTTTGAAAGGACAGCACATTCTGTTTGAACAATGGTCCTACAGTGACCAACTAATAGCCGAGGTAGAATGCGTTTGGCGAACCTCCTGAAATGATCCGAGTATATCACGACAATGTATTGCCACTCGAAATGCTCTGATCTATGGTTTACATTTGTCACCGTACACCATGCTCAGTCAGTTCATGAGAACGAAAGTAGCCATCATTTTAACCGAGGACATAAGATGATTGGGTTTCGTGGGAGAGAAGATGCCTACGGGTATCCATGAGCAGGCATTTGTTCGTGCAATCGAGTCACATGTTCATCATGTAGGATATCCTGATTACCTGAACATCATGTTTTCTATCAAACCGCGGGAACAAGTATGCTCGGTAGACAATAAAGTTTTCCGATGTGAAGATCAGTGCCGATTAACAAATGGTAGACACATTCAAATAATCAGAGATCAGGAAAGCTAGACTTAATTTTGAACCGCTTTATGATTTATGCGTAGATAAACAGAAATACAAAACATGTTCATGCTAGTTTCGTTAAAAAATAACACTTCAGTCTCGGTTAGGGATGCAACCCTAATCTAAATTTGACCAAGGCTAGGGCTTAGGTTGTCCATTATAGTGATCGAAGAGTAGAACCTCATGCCTATGGGATGGAAGCCATCCGTTGATCATCACGGAATGGCGATCATCTAATCTTTGCTTTGATTCAAATAACAAAAATGTCAGGCGCAATGGACACGAAATCATTCTGAATTTTTAAGATTCCGATGCTTTATCATTAGATGTAGTGCGATTGATTAGTCCTCATAAATTGGTTGAAAACAAGGCTAAACATTAATTACCTTGATTGTTTTATTCTGTACACGCGTTCTGTTGAGCAACTTAATTGCACGTTCTGCATCTTCAGCCTTGACGTAGTTCACAAATCCGTAACCCAGACTTTGTCCTGCATCAAAAGGGAAATGTTTTGAGAAAAGTGCTAATAAGCGATCAAATATAGGCAGGGTTGTAAACCAGAGTTCTGAATGATTGGCCATATTTTACAAACTATGTAAATATATTTTATATAAATATATTCCATTGACTTATCACAGCTAGAAAAACATCACTGTTAACTGGTAAAAAGTAACAGTGTTCTATCATTGTTAAAGTATACTCATTTTATGAATTAAAGTAAGGATACCGTTCACTATCTTCTCACCGCCAAACACGTATCCGCACATAGTTTACATTTTTGAACCCGGCAGATGTGTAGGAGCATACAACACTGGAAATATAATAAATGTCATAGAGGAATTCCTCGTGTATAGAACAAATAAAGCGTGAACTGAAAACCTACAAAGCAATCGTTTCACTGCTGTTTCGTCTTGATTGCCTCTCATCAGCAGCGCAAATCCATTAATGCAACCGGGGATCGAAACTAGGACCTCACATGCAGACAGAAAGCTTGCTGCCCACTCGGCCACCGGACAGCAGATCGGGCCGTCTTTCATTTTTCTTTTATACAATATGGCACAACCCATCTGTGCGAGTTTGTTGCAGGCGGCGTGCCTCGCTTATCTCAGCACTAGTCTCCGGGGTTATGACTTGGTTGGAAACTTTCAAGGCATGAGTACTTGTTGCATAAGAGTATAAGAGTATTTGATTAAATTTCAATAAGTAATTTCGGTTTGTATAAAGCAAATGATCCTCAGTTGGTTTGACGGATTTGCTCTGCTGATGAAACCTGACCAGGTCAGTACAAAGTGCATGTCAAAATGACCGATGTGTGTGGAGAGAAAACAGGCAAAGATAATTTATTATCTACAGGTTAAAGAATGTATCCTTCTTTGCTCAACAATAGCTCACGTAAAACAATAATAAATTAGCACCCCGAGAACAACGTAGTTCTCTGTGTCATAAACAACCCATGCAAAGCTGCTCAATTGAAGTGTACTTCTGGTAGATGGAACACAAACAAGCTTTGCAAAGCACTTTCTTTCAAACAATCAGAGATGGAATATGATTGGAGCACCACATTCGGTTTATGCAACTAATCCAATTGCGACAATCATTATTTTTACTCAACATGAGTAAAAATAAAACTCAAACAATGAAAGACTAATTAAAGCCGGAGTGGTAACCTCACAATTAACCCCACAGTGACAAAGTTCTCTCTCTATATATCGTGGGCACTCGAATGAAAACCGCATCAAACGGTCTAGATAACTGATCCAACTTTGAGATCTATCATCTAAATCCGTCAAAGCCGACAGATCAAAAATTCTCGAAACGAATTAATAAATGAACTAAATTCCTACATGAGAGTTGATTGACTATCAATAATAGACTGTCACGGACTGAGCACAAGTATGTTCAGTTCCCGTTAAGTAGAAATGCGAATTGGTTTATCTCGACAAACAGAGAGGATAAAACGTTTACTACGGAGGCAATATATTAGTTTAACAGCTGCAGCGGCAGCTGATAACCTTAGTTATTGATTCATGTTCTACTTCTATGAAATCAACATTTTGATAGTGACAAATATATCCGTATAGATAAGATATAGCAAAGTTCATGTCAGAGTCAGTTGGCTTGCATCACTGGTCCAGGAAACAAGGCAATATCAAAATACCTTTCCTAAACAAATAACTTGAAAAACAAGTATTTCACTACAATTGTTTGCAGATACCCCCTCGGTTAACCGTTGAAAGAGATTACAACCAAGCAAGAGCATTTCCATGTATAAATACTTATGTTTATTTGTGTAGCCAGTGCATCACTTTTGGACGGGGTTGATAAACTTTCGCATCTGCCAACGGAAAATCAAATCAAATACATAATTATTTCTTCATCTTTGAATATTGCAATCCGGGTACAGCTCTCGATTAACAAAGAAATGCCCACTGCCATATTCAACTTTCAAAAAGATAATAATTTAAATCGATCCCCATTCAGTCTAGGGAGTCAACAAAGATTTCGGTTGGGGGTGCTATACACATATGAACTCCATTGCCAATTGCTATCCGAAATAGTTGATCTCAATGTGTAAGAGGCCATCAAAAATCCAAGATGCTACTGATTCCATTGTAAGTAATCGACAAATTCAGATTTTCATACCACTCAGACTGTGCCTTACTGTTGTGTATTGAGGTAAATTATAGTCAACAACATGCCATTACATTCTGTGAAATGTTTGTGCCATCTGATTTCATAGCACGTTATACATTAGAACTTAGCTGTACATACCGTCTGTTTCACTTAGCAGCCTTTGATGCTAAATTAGGTTAAAAGAACTAATGCACCAGTGTATATATTATAACATAGTACAGTCAACTGCACTTTATTCATCATTTAAAATCTACTAAGTAACTCATAAAGATGTGGCTACCTCAAGATTCTGTCCTTGGGCACGTGATTCACTTCGTCAGAAGCACCTGATTTGGGAAAACTTAACTGTGTTCGTCGAAATTGTACTGTTGGGTGTCGGTATTTGGCGGTTCATGTCACGTGATTCACTCTGTATTATCTATTAGCATTTCATGTCAGTGTACCTTCTTGAATTCCCCACATATAATTCAAAATGTTCTATAGGTGATTGTAGAGGAAGTTTAGAGTAGCACTAACCTGAACCGTCACAGTACACTATACTGGATTACAACTGAGGGCTCCACAAAGGAGTATGTATGTGGTGTCTGGTTTGATGCGGAAAATATTTTAGTGAGTCACTCTGTTTATACGAACTTACATTGAGTTAGAGGGCCATTTACTTATTTAGGATTATTTTACTACTGAAAGATTTATGAATCAAAGAGCACGTTTCATTCATTTTTCGCCAAGTGTGTATGAAGTGACCAGATTGCGTACGTTCAAAAACATTTTTGTACAATTATTTCGACTAACCAATACACCCTTCATAATAGTCTTGATAAAACCTCGATGAAATTCAAACCACCAAGCGCAAAGGCTTTTAATTTTATGGATGATTCGTTGTTTGAATAAAATCAGTGGGTATACTCCCTGAAAACAGATTATCTCATCACGTATTTAATACTATTTCTTGAGAACTAATAACATAGACGATTTCAAGGATGTACTCATGCGTTGATGCTACGCTACCCGGATATCGGCTGTAATTTGA